CCGTGCTTAGGTCTGAATATGCTATCTGAGGGTACAAGGTCTTTCTTGCCCTCCTTCATGGGCCACAGCTCAAGCAGCAACTTAACCTCTAACTGTTTAGATGATCTTTACATACTTAAAACCAAATTTAAACCAAAATGCTCCATGTCTAGTTTTGTATTTTAAAAAGCCAAAAAAAAGGGGAGGAGGGGAATTTTATTCATCTGCTGCCACTCAGAAATAACACAGTAAGGTAACTTGGGAGAATGATGACTTTTAGCATGTTAACCACTGACCATGCAACATTTTCATCAGTGTAAATATAACTCCTCGTTACTCTGCCAAGGTTGCACTGAATCATACAACCGCCAGTGAAGTCAGACTTTCTAAATATTCTTATTTCACATAAAAACACACTAATGAAAGTGCTTTTAATTTTAGGTAGTTCTTCTTTCTGAAACACTGGTGTGTGTTACCCTGATAAATGGGAATGCTGGGAACACTGATCATCCAAGGAAAAATTTAGTTAGTGTTCAAACAAGTTCTTAGGGTATTTCTGTATGGAAAAAGCCCGGAGGTATTCAAGGACTGGCATCAGCATATTTATATTCGCATTCTCCTCAATTCAGTGTTAATATATCCTTCATCACGACCAACATACTAATTACAGAGTGCGCAGAGCCTCAGAGAGCTGCAGCAAGTTACAGGCTGGATTATTACTTCATATTGCTGAGGAACATGATAGCCCATAGTTACGAATGAGGACTCCCCTGTGACCAGGTGCTGTATGATTCGAAGGCAACATCTCACAAACCTTACACTTGAAACCAAAAGAATGAGTTAACCCAAAGCAGCTGACACTAATTTCCCAGTTAAGATATTTTTCATCCTCTCAGGTGAACTGCAATTGTGTACATTCAGTTTCCTTCTTTTGTATTTCAGAGCGAGCACCCTGTTTAATCACTTGAATGGTCTTGGAGCACGCCAGACATCATGCAACATGAAACTACTGGCCCTTCAGGTCTTCACTGAGACAAGGTTTGTAGCTCACACAGTTATTCCCTAAATCAAATATGCACTGGGGACACCAGCATTTATGTTAATGAAGTGGTACCCCATTCTAGAGCTGATGTCCTTGTCTGGGGAGACAACAGTTCTTTGTATGTATTTCAGGCCAGAGTGGGCCACTTGCGTCACCTCACTTGAACTCCTACAACAAGAGCCAGACACATCCACCCAGGTACTCCTGTCCTCAGCCTAACTGCAGGTGAAACAAGAACATGTAACATTTCCATATATATGTGGAAAGTGCATGGGAATGACGCAAGCCGAAAGTCAGTACAAGAAGGGAGTACGGAACTGGCAGTTTCTTAACACCCAGTTTGTTCCATCTTCCCTATATGAGAATATATATTAAGCTGACGATGACTGACTTTAAATATAGCAGACTCCAGGGACAGGTGACAGTGAACATAGTCCACAACCTTTCATCACCAAGTTCAAAGTCCAGTTCAGCTCACAGGCAAAATGAGATTCATAGTCTAGTCCTTAATTCCTGAAGCTTGGATACCTTTTTTCAAAGTGGTGCAATTGCATAACACAAACAACAACGACTGCCAGAAACTGCGATTGAAACTTCTCCAGTGTCTGATTGACTCTACTTGTATTATCAGGCCTCAGCTTGACATGTGCCTGAATAGCTGAATGCCAGATGAGAGGGAAGGTGGCAGGGATAATGCAAATATTTTTATTAAGTTGTTGAAATGTTTTTGATGCAACAACAGTAACATTATACCCTTAAAAATGCCACACTGAAAATTATCCTAAAGTTTATCTATCATACAAGATGCATTTAGTAACAGCAGCATCTATATATATAAAAGTTGTGAGGTTCATATTTATTTACAACATACACTCGATAAACAAAAGGAAGGTACGTAATTCCAGTGAGCACACAGATAATTGGACAAGTCTGGGAACAACTGTTGGGCCAGTTGCAAAGATGTGAACTTACAGAATAATTTCTATTGCCAAGCAGGGAGCTAGCTTTCTCTTTGAACTTCAGGGGAAATGAGGATAAACTAGTTATTATAAAAGATGATCATTTAGTATCATCATAGCACTTTCTAAAAATCTAACCAACAAGCCAAAGCATGAGCTAAAGCTAGTTATTTACTTCCAAAAATATAACTATGTTTACCTCCAAACAAATACTTCCACATACATGGCTGAAAAAAGATCAGAAGGTATAGCAGCTATTTTGAAACCTGCATTTCCATCAAACATCTTAGTTTATTTATATATTCCCCACTTTCCTTGAAGTATTGCCCACACAAGCAGCATTTCCCACTTTGGAGAATAAACATTAATTTCACACCACAATGTTTTTTCTAGAGATATAATTACACAGAAGACAAGTATTCTTTATTAAAATATCTGAAGGCATGTTAGGTAGTTATGACTGGTAGTTATTCAGGAGCATAGGTTTTCTTTACTTTTTTTCTTTTCTTTTTTTTTTTCCCCTTTCCTTTCCTTGTTTGCCAGCTAATAAGAACTTTGGAGATGTAAAGGAGTGACTTGATCCCAATGCATTTTTAACATTGTAATAAATGATGCAGTGAGGTACGGAATAATCAGGCTGAAACTGTTCTGTGCAAGACAACTATTCTAACACAGGCTTGACATCAACAAATGCATTCTCCCAGGCCCTGGCACATTATGAATGAATTGTGACATTTTCTTACAAGTAATTCTTTTAAGATAATCTCTAACTTCTTCCTTCTACTTATATTTTATAGAGTAACTGGGATACACATTTTACGAATTGTTGAAGCTCCTAGTATTCCCCAGTTGAGAAAATGAGTTATTCTTATGGACATAACTATGTCCAGATCAAAAAACCTGTGTCAAAGCAGAATACAACTGAATCTGTTCCTCATGTTCTTCCTGTTTCTTTTTTTAGTTTCTGCTTTCATCCTACAACTCACGTTATTCCTCTTCTTTTGCCTCTTCTGATAATACACCCAATATAACACACCATTTACAATTTTAGTCTTTTAGTGTAGCATGCCAAAGACATGTCAGCATAGTCTCTGAATCAGAAGTTGAGACTATCTTGCAGAGTTTAAATTACAAAGCATTGTCTCATCAGAATGACATTTCTCTTGGGATCGAAGCATTTTGACTATGATAAAAAGTCATAGAAAGTACGCAGGCTCATGAAGCAATTCAGTGCAACTAGGAGCCAACACACACCAGAAGCTACATGTAAGACAAGGGAAAAGAGGGAGAAAAGAGAAAGAGAGGAGAGAGAAGGGGATGTGTGTCGAAGGATGAGAGCAGGGAGGGAAGGGGGAGAATGAATGCACACTCTTATAAAGAAGGGGAAAGGTAATTTTACCAATTCTTTCTTGCTGGTTCACAATAATCACTAAACTGACTGCTAATTATGAAGTATCTAAACTCCAGTTTTCAGGAAGAAGAAATTAGCTCAAGTCTTTTTACGGAAACAAATCCTCAAAATCCTTCAGTTTTTAAAGCACCAATCTTGTCTGTTTCCCTTATGATGGATCTAAATGTACAAATACATAGCTTTGAAAATAAATGCAGACAAGAACAGGAAATGTTACATGGGCATGAAAGGTAAGAAATGTGTTGAATCTTCAGCACTTGAAAACAAACCTAAACAAAGTGGTAGGGCCTAAAGTCCAACCCAGTATGCAAAAATCACACCAGTGTTAATAAAAGATGGAGAATAAGAGCTGCAGCTAGCGAAAAATTTTTCTAAAGAAAACTGGATTTTCGACTGAAAGACCACTATCACAGAGATGTATTTTCCTGAGAAAGGCAACGTCTTGCTGTTTGCGATGTCTCTGGAAAGGAGACTCCTCTGAGAAGTTTCCCTTTGAATCCCAGTTGGTGGGAAAGCCAATGGCCTCTGATGGATATTACCACTCTGTCCTGGTTAGTAAACATTTAAAATTCACTTCTTTCAATTTGTAGTACTCTCGAGAGCAGCCTTAATACGAATCCATGGATGTGACAAATTCCACATCCTCATCTTAACGTTTCTGCTCAAGAAATCTGAGACTGCCTGTCCCTGAGATGACTACCTCAAATCAAAACTGATAACCTGAAAGAGGGTGAGAATATCAAGAGAATATCAAAACCCAGCTAGATCCACAGAACCCAGAATTTTTTAATAGACAGGACAGACCTGTATCACAAAACCTGTAAAGCACTCTGCTTGTGAAAGCCCGAATTTATCGCAAGCAATGACAGGCTGCTAAAAACAAATAAAAAGAGAGAGGAAGGGTGAAATGACAAGATAAAGGACTTCATAAACACTTTGACATCAGTGTGAAAATTTTCAAAGTGATTCCTTACTTTTAATAATAAAAGCCTGTCCCTAAATGCATTCTTCAACACAGCGCAACAATATGCACTTTTTTGGTGCGTGCGCATGTTGACGAGTAGAGATTTGGGGGGTGGGGTGGGGTGGTGGAGGTTCAATAGATGCGGGGCACTTACAAGCAAATCAAAATTGTCTGCAAAGAGACACTTCCTGCTGGTGACTAAGCCTTCACCCAAACAGTCAAGAGGAAGGGGCATAAGTAAAGCATTGCAAACGGTCATCCCGATTGTATCAGAGTGGAGACAACTAGGACAAACAAACTCAGGAAGTGGCAGGGAGTTAGAAACCGGGAGGAAATCTATGGCACAGAGAGGAAAGTGAAGAGATTGCGCCGATCTGCAGAAAGGTCACCTCTGGGTCGCACTGTGCCAAGCTTTTTCAAAACCGCTTTATTTGGACTATAATACAAAACTGGCACACACAGCTGGCGACTGCTGCAGAGGCTATTCAAATGTTAACATTCTCAATGATAAACAGCCAAATAAAGTTCTATGTAAGCAAATTGGAACAAACAACTAATCTAAATCTGGTTGCTAAGAGACAGAGGATTTCAGCCAAAACCAGCCCCAAGCCTGAAGAATACTTTATTTTTGATAAAAAAAAGTACCTGTAGATGACGCCATGTTGGTGAAGAAACATGAGTGCTGATGTGACCTCTGCTGCGTAAAAGCGGGATCGAGGTTCGTCAAATTTGCGTGAGCGCTGGATTTGAAACATTAGGTCTCCTCCATTTACATATTCCATGACGAAGAAGAGGCGGTCCTGAAATTAATTAAACAGTGCTATTTAGCTAATTTCTTTTAGTCACACAAAGGACTGCTTGAAGCTACACTTCACAGGACTGCAGCATTTGCGTCAAGAAATGAAAGAAACAAATGCTACCATTCTGAAAAAGGAAAAGCTGACCACCAAAATCCCCCAAACCTAAAGAAAACGAGACAAGAGTCTCAAAGTGAGAAATGAGAAAAAAGGAATAGAATCAAAATGTATAAGTAATAAGCAACATATACACAAATCTCTACGCATCAACAAATACATACATATGGAATCATAATCAATTTTATACAATAACAGAGATACTTAAATGATGCCATTTCTTTCAAAATTTAGCCATAACAATTAAGAGATAAAGTCAATTCTGTCAACTACTGACGGGCTGCTGGGCAAATTTCAGGCTCCTTGTTTCTTCTCTTATCTCTAACCAGCTACTTTATCTGCAAAGTATTTTTCCCAAATTATGTAAAAACGAATTAGAATTGTTAAGCTATAGAAACCAGTGCTGCCAATCTCAGACACTTATGTATGACTTTTTGAATTGCCTCAAACTCTCATAAGACAATGAAATATAATTACATTATTAAAATACATATCAAGTTCTTTTTATTTTCCTCTGATGCTTATCACTTCAAAGTTCAAGTTTTCAAGCCTTATTCCATAATGGAGAACTAGAAATGAACTTTACTTGAGAACAGCAACTGAGATTCTCAGGTAATCACTCCATTTTGGTGTGTTTCAGAAAAAAAATCCAGAAGTTAAGCACTCAGTGAAACAGAACTGAGAACACCAGGAAAATAAATGTGTGCTTGGCATCTTGAAACATCACTGATGATGCAGGTGAAGGCATAAGCAAAGAAATGACACACATCCACTTGATATAATTTAGATCCCGTTTTTTATAAATGTTTCTTACGTATTTTCATAGTTTTCCCTAATGTGTATTAACAGCCCTAAATAATCATCAACTCTTTACCCATTCACGCTTAGTTTCTAAGCCTACTTCCACGTTCTTTATTTCCTTACTGTAAAATATCTACACCTATATGCATGAGTTTAGACAGAGGTGGAGGTAATTCTCATGTGGTGTGGAGAATGGATCTGAGCATATATACTCCTCGCTCTGCGTTAGCTCACATTTTGTTCTCTGGTCACACGATACACAGGTGTGTAAGCATGGGACTTCACCGAAGGGAGCCCCTCTCCAGCTTTCACCTTACACTGCAGTTTGGCTCTGGCTCATGGTGTCTGGTGTACTGGGTTGAAGAAAAGGAGATGAGGTGCGGCATTGCTTTGGACGAGCAAAACCAACAGAAGATCGAAGTTAATTAACCTCTCACAAGTGAATCCAAGCCTTCAGATTACATAGTTTATATATATGAGTCCAGAAATTCATAAATGATTGCTGTTTGTCTTTATTCATCTACTCTACGGCTCAGATTCAAAGCATAGCACTTAAAAATTTCCTTAAACTTAAGCATGTGCATTAATCCTACTCATTAAGTGCCTAAATGTTATACTTATCAGGGATGTTTCCTGGAGGAGGCTACAAATGTTTGGCTGACTTTTTGCTGATTACAGAAAGAGGATGCAGAAAAAAACCTTGTGCCTTTTCCCCCATATCTTGGGAACACAGAAACTGCCAGACTGGATCAAATTCAGGATCCGGGTGGACAGGCAGTCTTGGTAAAACATTGCTAACAAATTTGGTACATTTTCCAATGTTTCTCTTACCATTCCCTAGTAAGGAAAACCTACTAAAGAACAGCATCAAGGCTTCTGGCTGTATCATACACCCAAAAGAGCACGGCTTTAAAGCCATGCCTTTGTTCTTTTTGCAATGCTTAATACTGCTGATAAGAAACATTCAAAATCATAGTGCAGATCTCTCAACATTATTGTAGGCTTTAAATATCACCTTTGCCTGTTTTAAGCAAAAATATGGGTCCTTGTGCTGTCTCTCTGATTTCTCTCTGGAACTGGTGAGAATTACAGCCTTGGTTTTAAAAGAAAATCTGATAGTTTTCAGATGGTCTTATGATTTCAGAAGCTAGAGCTTAAGGATAACACCAAATGCAGTCAGTTTTGTGATAAAGTCAATCAAAAGCACAGCTATATTGGTACGGTAAAGTAGCACAAGAGGATACAACAGCCCCAAGAAGAAGATGCAGGCATTGTCCTTCGTTAGGCTCCTCATCACTGCACTACAGACAGTATCTCTGAAGAGCAGTTTTGGTCCCAGTGTCCCTTTGCAACACATTGCCTTAGATTATATCACATGGATATAGTTCAGTGTTTCAAGTACAAAACCCACATGGGATGCAGGCTGGGGAGCACCTGACTAACATTTGGCTAAAGTAACTTCTCCTAACACTTGCTGAAATTGAACCTTCTTACATTGCTGTTTTAACCTTTCCAAAGTCAACAGTCTGGACGTGAGTGGGCACAACCAGGAAAAGGAAGCTGCAATTCACATTCCCCCGAGCAGCCATACTCATTCTTCAACATTGCTACCTTTTTGCTACACCTCTATCACGAGCACAATACAAACAATGCTGATGCAAAGAGATCGTGCTGTGTCAGAGAATCATTTAGGTTGGAAATGACCTTTAAGATTATCTTACAGCTGTGACTCCCAAACAGTCATCCTCAACTCGCCACTGAGCCGGGAGCTCCTGCTCCCAAAGGTGATGCCACCACTCTTCCAACTGCTGGGGATGGTGCACACACACAAAAAAAAACCAACCAAACAAACAAAAAAAACCACACACACAAAAAAAAAAAAAAAAAAAAAAAAAAAAAAAAGGTCATTTTACACAATTGTGTAGATCAGGGCCATTTCCTGACATGTCAGGATGTGTTGTATCATTTTTATATTAAATGGTCTACATGTTTGATCCAAACAGAACCAATGCTTTTTGTGACATTCACCAAATGCCTAATTGCTAATTCTAAATATCAGAAATGGTGTTTAGTTAAAACTTCAAGTTCTTTTATTTTGGTTCAGTCCTTTGTAGGACTTCTCCAGTTCAGCCAACTGAAAATTTAACCTGAATTATTTAGCAGAGTATCTTGTCATTAGACAGTCTGAACAAAAGTTTTAGCAGCAGCTCCATTCCCAGAGCTGGAGAGTGCTAACTCTCCTATCCTCTTGCACATCTTCCTTACTACACATATCCCATTCTCAAGGTGAAGGGGTATTTCTGGCAGATTCTGCAGCTTCGTTGACCACATCTTCAAAACCATACCTACTAAACCCAGAATTAACAACTCAGTGATTGAATTTGCTCTGCTGTTCCATTTTTCTGTTATACACTGACATTTCAAGTTACTTTTCCAGCTTTCCTGGGTGCATGCTTCAGCTTCCTAATGAGAATTCACAGAAAAAAAGTAGTTTGAAAGTTCTGTTCTCTGTTCACAGTGAGACTGGGAAAGGGTTTGATTTTGAGAGAATATACTAATTCTTACCCACTAACATGGGGTAAACAGTAAGATGCACAACATGTACATGCACAGCAGGCCAGAGGTTCAACATTAGAAGGTAACATCTTTTTTTGATGAAATATACTCAATCCCTATGAAAACTACTTTTTTAAAACCCCTCGCTAGTCTTTTTTTGCCTCAGGACAATGGTATGATCAGCTTGGAGTCAGATTTACATGAAAAGAGGATGCAAGAGAAGAGACAATATTTTATGAATAATGAGCTGAGATTGGTAAGTCCATTTTTCTCCTGATTCCCTAACTTCAGCAACAACACTATAATAGAGACACTATTTTGATTTTTGCTCCTTGAATTTTTTCCCAATCTTTCATCAAAAGTTAATGATCAAAATACAGATTCCTAACACTCTGGATATTTCCTTTCTGTCATAATGTATGGACACACAGAGAGTGACCCAATGAGACCTCTGTGACTTCAATGCAGAGAGGATTTAATCCTCAAACAGTAATTGTGAAACAACTGTATCATGCCTGATTATATGCATCTTGCTACATTTATCACCAGGATATATTCAAACACTGAAAGTGGGAGAATATGAAGTGAATGCCCTAAACAATTATGCATTATTAAGGGACAACCCAGTGTTTGCTCAGTTAAAAACGAGATCCAAGGTATGACTTTATCATTGATTGTGTTCCAAGAGAAAATTGAATGGGTTTGGACTGCATTATTTTTGCACTACTTTTTCGTAACATTTGAGAAGTATGTTTTGATGAACAAAATAAACGTAAAGTAGTCCTGGGAACTCTTTAATTATATAAACTGAAATAAAAGGCAAAATCAAACAAAGACATGATAGATTAATCCTCTCTTGGCATCTATAAAGCAAAAAAAGTACTGCGAAGTAAGCCAATATGTTTCCTGAAGTAATTAGATTCTTTTACAGGGTTTATTTTAGCCCTTAATCATACTTGCTTTTCCTTGAATTTCTCAAAAGGTATGGTTGAATGAGAATACTTAAAATAATAAATGGAAAGAAAAACAGAGCAGAGAGCATGAGTAAGAGATTTTAAAAGTAAAGCGGATATGGAGTAAACAGGCTAGAAGTTAAGACAAAAGAAGTTCAACTTCACTCTGTATTTCCATAGTATTTTCTGACTATGGCTTTAACTCCTATACTGGAATGCATAATTGCCTGTCTTAACAGGGTGTTGGACTAGATGACCTTTAAAGGTCCCTTCCAACCCAAACTATTCTATGATTAACACCTCTATTAGTCCAGTCTCACCTCTTGATTTTCTTAATTGGGACACTCTCCTGCATGCTTTACATTTCCAAAAATGGACTCTAAAAGCAACCTCTCTTCTAGTCTCTGTCTCTATCACTATCTGGAGAAGTACACTTATCACTTAAACTAGAAATCTTGTTTCATATTCTTTCTCATTCCACTCCTTTAACTGTGCCCTAATTTCTTTTTTCATCCTCCTTGACATTCAAAATAGCCATCCTTTAGCTCTACTGTAAATCCTTCTAACTAATCCTCT